GCAGTGTCATGGGATCATGGGGGGTGGGGGGGGGCTAAGTAACAGATCATCCACGTGTTACATTCTTGCATTTAGCGGCTATTATACATTCTTAGGCTACTTACTACAAAAATAATAAAACCATTTGAATTTTTATCGAATAAGTCAGAGAGCCAGTTGATCATAAAATTGAGTGCACACAAGTCAGGTAGGCGAGAGGAAATAGCCAATATAATATTCTAGAAATTAAGATGTTCTTGAATGGGTAGCTCACAAAATCAGGGGTGGAGCCAGGATTTGCAGCTAATGCTGTTAAACTGGCAGCTAATGACTATGGTAGTTTTAATGTACTTGTTAATGTTGTGTTCGTTTGATTTACGGATTTATTACATTTTGCATACTTTTGCCTGAATATTATTGCTAACTAATAGAAATATTGACGTAATCATGTAATGTGGTGGCGCTCTCGTAACAGTAACGATGCTCATTTGTTTTGATTCGGCCATCGCTCGTTAATATTCTGAACAATCGGATCACGTGGGTCTTTTTGTGCTGAAGAAAAGCGGCGTCTTGCATTTTAATCCGTACGTCGTTCATCTAGCGTGGCTTTCGAAAATTGTGAACTTGTGACTTGTAAATTTAAAACCTCTCCGAAATCATGCCAAAAGACGTAAGTATACTCTACAAAACATATTTCAGAAGCAAATATATAGTATTTTATATACATGGTATTATCATTCTTAATTATTAGTTATGTCGATACAAAATAATTCTTAAAACGGTAGTAAACTTTTGAATTGGTCCAGAGAGCCGAGGCACATGTCTGCCTAGGCAAGGGCATCCCAACTCAAGCACCGCGTAACTCTTTAGGCTACCTACCTCTCTGGGCTAAACCCACTTTCCATTGTGGTGGTAGGTATGGAGGCTATGCGTCTTTCCATTTAGGACTTTAGATGGGAGGTTGTGTAAAACGCTTAAATATTTTTTTTTAAGTTGTTTTTCCCGTAATAAAATGCGGTGGAAATTTATTGAATAAATTTTCCTGCTTTCCACCTGTGTGATTGTTCTCAATCTCAGTTTTTCACAGATAATTTTGGACAGCCTTTCTGGTCTGGATTACTTAATAACGACAAACAACTTAATCAAAGATTGAATGAGAAATGCATTCATTTGCTATTTATTTAATTAATTAATGTCAAATTGGGTTTTGTTTTAATGTTCACATTTTTTCCCCCAATTTTTGCAACAGGAATTGGAAGAAAATGAACAACTTAGAAAAATCTTCATCGGAGGTCTTGATTATGACACAAGCGATGAGACCCTGAGGGAATATTTCAGTCACTATGGTGAGCTTACAGATTGTGTTGTTATACGACACACAGATACAAAACGATCAAGAGGATTTGGATTCGCCACCTTCAAACAAGGCAACATGGTTGACGAATGTATCAGCGATTTCAAAAAGAATGGCCATCAGATTGATGGTCGGGATGTAGAAGTGAAGCGAGCAGTTTCACGAGAGGTAATTGTTAACATAACAGCAGACTTGTTCATTTTTCATCCCAAATATATTTACATGATGAAAAGAATAAGCAAAAAAATTAATGTGTGTTTATTTTTTATTGCATTGCGCCTAAGATATTCTTCACACATCCTGTAGTACATTAAAATAGCAAGTCTCAAGTTTGGGCTCTAGCCAGCCTAATCAACAATTTGTATTTTTAATAGATCATTTTGTGCATGTATTTTGAAAATTTGCAGTAATATTAAAACATTTTTATGTGCTGTATTCCAACATTTAATACTAAAGTGTTAAAAAGGGAATAAATATTCATTCTTTCTGCAGGAATGTAGTGTGGATCCAAGAAAAAAGAGACCATGTAAGAAAATTTTCCTTGGTGGCGTTCATCAAGAAGTAACTGAGGATAAGTTGAGGGAGTATTTCGAGACCAACTACGGCAAAGTTGAATCTGTGGACATTCCACTGGAACAGAAATCTGGAAAGAAAAGAGGCTTTGCATTTATGACATTTGAGGAGGATCAGCTAGTTGATAAAATTTGCAGTATGATCATTTTTGTTATGTTTTTATTAGTAAACATTGTAACTTTATTAGTTTGCAATAAAAATAGAATAATTTTTTTGAAATACTGTAAATAATTTTATACATTTTATAAAGGTGTTATGAGCTTTGTAGAGGATTTACTATGTAGGAACCTTATTCAATATTGATATGACAATTTTTAAAAATCTTCAATAAAAATTTTTTCAAACCTATTCCACTGATATACAGTACAATCCCTTAATTATGTAAGACACAGACCCAGAGCCATTCGTAATTGCGGGTATTTGTAAAATCGGATTTGACCAAAATTCTCATATTTGTACTGGTACTACTTACACTGGCATAAACTAAACTAGGCCCACAGGCCTACGTAGCAAAGTCTGAAGGGGCCTAGGCCTACAGTAGGCAGTTTCTAAGCATTCTGATCCCACTCTAGGGCCCACACCAATTTGTTTTTAATCATACATTTTTACCTTCTTAAATACTGTACCAACTCCAACACAACTTCCATAGATACTTGTTTATTATATATATTGATCATTCAGTAAAACAATCAAGCACTATGTTGACTTTTAAAGCTGAAAACGATGATGGAAAGAGAAGTAACATTTGTCGCATGCACATGTGTGAAGCCATAATAAACACTGAATTTGAAGAGAATTATATAGTATAGTATGTTGTGTTGTATGCATGATAATAACAGTTGCAATTTGAGCGGATTTTTTTTTACTCTCTTTTCACTTCACTTTTTATGACATCATCGCCTTGATTTTATGTTTGTAAAAACGGGAATTTGTTAAATCGGGGTTTGTAATTGAGGGTTTCTACTGTATTATACATGTTATATATGGTTTAACTTTTAGGCTTGCATTTTAGAATATAATAATGATGAATAATTCAATTCTTAATTTGCCAACAAAACATGTATAGCATACAAAACTGAATTAGTATTATAGCAATGTAATGATAACATTCCTTTTTTCAGTTAAGAAATACCACACAATCTGCGAGAAACGCTTAGAAGCAAAGAAAGCAATTCCTAGAGACGAAATGGACAAGAGTGGTGGTGGTGGTGGTGGCGGAGGTGGTGGTGGTGGTGGCGGCGGTCGTGGAGGAGGAGGTCGTGGAGATGGTGGTGGTAGAGGAGGTGAGATAATTTGTCTTTTGTTAAATATTCATATTGAAATGTTTTGCTGTATTGTAAGTATGAGACTATGTATTTAGAGAAACTTCTGCATGATTTTAAAATGGATTGCATTACAGCCACAGATTCTGTGCATAATCAGTTTCGTTGTTGAAACCAACATTCTGTTTTGGACCACCAGCATAGGCTTAGAGTTTTGCTTACACTACTGTTTTAGGCCATTTTGAGGAATGCATTTCATTTTTTCGGAGGGCTATTTAGCTTTCCCTTATTAGTGTCATCTCTGTTTTTACAAATAGTGCCTTCCTTTTTAGGTTTTCTGGCTGGTTACTTTGATTTAGATGATAAAGAAGGTAACATTCTAACAAGATGAACATTATATTAAATTTTCTTGGAAACTGGACAGGATTCTAAACTGTTTCACATTTTCATTTTAATTTTGTTTTCATTCTAATTTCAAAGATGATGGTTTACCATTTAATTAACTATCTTGTTAACTATGTTGTGAAGGCTGAACCTTAACTAAAAATAATGATTTTTTTTTTTAATTTATTAATTGATTAATCCAGTTTTTCTGCACAGAAGGCAAGACAGAATCACACACCTCTCCATGTGGCATATAATGTGTTAATAATGCTCTGTCCATACTGTCAAGTTGATATACAGTTAAACTTGCCTAAGTCTACACTCAGACTTGGGATAAGCCGGGCTTGAATTAAGCTCGGCTCAACGTTAAGCCCGGCCTAACTTTGCCAGGCGTTCAGACTAGCAGGATTAGCCAGGCGCGAGAATTTGCATAATAATGACCCATAACCAGGAAAGGTATTTCAAAACATTGCTCGCGAAATGTACGCTAGCTCACAGCATACGTAATTGAATGCTGATTGGTCATTATGTTACCCGAAGTCAATGCAAAACCCCCCCGCAACGATTAAAGTTAAACACGGTGGCACGCCAGGCCTAGTTACTATAGGAACACAGCCCGGCTTACAATAAGCCACCTAGTTCAGACTGGCAGGTGGATAAACCTCGTGAGTTGAGCCGGGTTTATCCACCTAGTCTGAACTAAGCCCAAGTCAAATAATTTATAAGTCGATCGTATTTTACATGCCAAATTGTTGTGTTTTCCATTAAATAACAATCTATAATAATCTGTAGTAATATGTTATAAGTTTACTTCATATTTTTATCTTGACATTGAAATTTTAATATCTAATTATAGATTATTATTTTGTTAAGTCACCTTTATGCCAATATTGTAAATGTAACAGTTTTAGCTGTTTATCTTAATTTGATTAACTTCATGTTTATAAATAATGTAATATAATCTTTCTACTAAATGTTTATAATTTTATCCTAACATAAAACACAGGTTTCTTTCTACTAAATGTTTGTAATTTTATCCTAACATAAAACACAGGTTTACTGTATTGATGTTAAAGGAGGACTGTACCAATTATTGTATTAAGTATTGTCTTCGTAATAAATGATTAAAAATGTAGTGCATTACTGTAATTTAATGGTTTTTTTGAAAGATTATGGTAATGGATTTGGATACAACAATCAAGGCAATTTTGGAAATGGTTTTGGCAATAGCAACCAAGGCGGTGGAAGTAAGTGTAATTTACTTGTTAATGATGTAGAATATTGAGCAATCAAAATGTAGAACAAACAGATGTACCAATCTCATACATATTATCAGACTATTAAAGTTGAATTTCAGATTTTCTTTACGATTGCTGGGATCAGAAAAAAGGCAAACTTTATTTTACCATGGTTCATTTAAATACCCTACTTAAACCTTAATGAGTAAAACCAAAAATATATATATATTTGCTCTGCCACTGTATTCCTGTGGTGCATTGTCCCAGTGATATAGGCAAATTGCAAGCCTTCCTTCAGGATGGATTACTAAGTCTGCTATTTGCCCATCTAGAATATTGAGCTATAGGTTAGTGGTTAAGATGCCTTCCAATCTGTATGGCAGCAGTGTCTTAGAATGTGGTGCAGAGCCTAAGCCTTCATGCTTGCATAGTCTGAGGTCGACCACTTGTTTTTGTCTAGGGCAAAGAAACAGCACTGTTACTCTTCCAGAAGTACCTGTTAGGAGGGAGTGACAAATTCCACAATGGCTTGAAAACTCCTCAGGGAATGTATATGTGGCTGTACTGTATGTGACATCCTGAGGTTGCAGTGACCAGTCAACTGATTGCCTTTTCCATACTAATTAAATGCTACATGTAATAAATTTAGTGAATTCATTAATTTCCAGATTGGGGAGGCCGTGGTAACATGGGAGGAAACTTTGGTGGAAACTACGGTGGCAACTTCGGAGGAGGTGGTGGATATGGTGGTGGAGGAGGCAATTTTGGAAATTCAGGAGGAAATTTTGGAAACTATGGCGGTAATTTTGGTGGAGGATATGGCGGGGGTAACTTTAACCAAGGTGGTTTTCAAGGAAACTATGCAGGAGGTGGTGGCAATTTCAACCAAGGTAAATAAAAAGTTCGTAATTACAGATATTCAAAAATCCATGTATAAATCACAGGTATCATATTTTATAAGAATGTCATGTCATGTCAGCAAGACATTAGGTTGGCAATCTATTGGTTTATTTGAACTGACAGTTTTCTATAAGCTTGTTTTTTTTTTTTGTCTGTCATAATGGGACAAAAAGTAATTTTTAAAATTTAAATACAAGGATTTGTGCTGTATTACATGCACATCTATGTATTTTCACCAACCATTTTCATAGTTTGTGATTTAATATAATTATAATCTATAATTCAAACCCAAGAACTTCTGCTTACCTCTCGGATATTCTCTAAGCTATGAAGGCAAGTATTATTCACCCTTGGATTTTCCTATGTCACATTTTTTCTCCATGTACTGCATAATATGCAATAAATAATGGTGAATCACATGATAGTAACTTTCGTATAGAGAAACATCTCTACTAATGTCAAAAGTTAATGGTTTTTTTGTAGGTGGATCTGCAATGGGAAGTGGAAACTTTGGCGGAGGAGGTGGAGGAAACTATGGTGGTGGTGGCTATGATAATTTTGGTCAAAATTACCAAGGTTCTCAATCAGGATTTGGACCTATGAAAGGTGGACAGCAGTACATGAACAGAGGAGGTGGACCCTACAACACAGGTGAGTGACCTTTTCATTATGACCCTAATCAAAGAACCATTTCTAATGTTATTTTGTTTCATTTTTGCTCCTAGCCTCTGAGATCATTAGAAAAATCCTTTAATAACACAATTCACTCTGTTAATCTAACATTGTATATCCAGCTAAATAGAGCTGTATTTTTGTAAGTTTTGGTAACCATAACACCAGTGTCAATGTATTGCAATAAAACTACAGTATACCCTACAAATGCGGAGTAAAAGTGGAGTTTCTGCTATTTTAAAAGTGTTTACCAGTCAATTGATTGTCAATCCTTTGTTTAAGACCTAGTTCCATTATTCTTTACAGGAGGCGGATATGGAAACAATCCTGTTGGAATGGGAGGGTCAGGATATAGTGGAGGATCAGGAGGACAGGGTTACGGAGGAGGTGCAGGATACGGAGGTGGACAAGGTGCAACTGGATACGGAGGAGGCCAAGGTGGTGGTTATGGAGGCGGTGTGGGTAGTGGCAGTATGGGTGGCAACATGGGTGGAACTATGGGAGGCAACATGGGTGGAGGAATGGGAGGCGGATTTGGAGGAGGCAGCACAGCTGGAGTAGGAACTGGAGTAGCAGCCACAGGTGGTGCTAGTGGAGGTGGAGTAGGAGCAATGGGAGGCGGACGGAGATACTGAAATGTCAAAGTAAGACCAATTCTCTTCACACTTCTCTCTCGCAAGTTTTTTAGCACAGATCTGCCAACAACAGAATGAGCATAACATGATATTGAGATAAAACTAGCTAAATTAGTACTGAAAATGAATTACAGGAATTATACTTTGTATGTTATCACAGAAAAAGGATACGAGTTGATAGAGTAAATGTGTTTTATTTTTTGATCTGGTTTCACCATCTTACTACAGGTTTTACTACAGTGAGTTTTAACAAGTCAGATACTCCATCCAGACCAGGCTAAAATATGCAGTCAGGCTATTGTGTGTTTCAGGATCCTAGAATGGACAATATTTTAATAGTAGCTCAGCAAAAAGCAGAAAAGAACTCTTAAATGAATGATTAGCTCTGGATATCCAGCATGCTTAGCAACAATACAAAAAAGCTATCTGCTTATTATTTAGTTGTACAGTACTAGTTTTAGTTGCAACTTGTTTCATCAGTGACACCCTGTGATACTCAGATCCAAGTACTGTAGCCAGTTATCAAAGAAAGTGAAGGTAGTATTAGTTAACACAGCTCATCATGCAGAGCATGGAACTAGTTATTTTCCTGTAAAAAGGTAGTATAACCACATGGATTTTTAGCTCTCTTCTATTTTCAGTTAGACCATCTTAAATTACAGTAATAAATCTTAATATATCAATTTGTAAAATAATTTTTAAGGCGCTGTTATATAGATCCTGGATACAATTACGCCCACATGAAAATTCCGCCATGGCAGTTGCTTATAATTTACCCAGAATTTTTTAAACATGCCTATTTGTATAATACAAAGATAAAGTAATCATGATAAGGCATGTTGTATGTTTTGTGAGTAAGTGTCTTTAAAATGTTTTGTCTGTTAGAAATTAGTACCAATTAATAATTTTAATCATTTTGTGAGGATTACTGTTACCAAATCAGTAGAGAATAAAAGTTAGGAAAGTTAGGACTCTATATGTCAGGTGTGTCTCATTACAATGTGTAGAGTAGAAACAATAGAGGAGAGGGTGATGGATTACAAAAGATATGATCATGTAGAATTGGCCAATTAATTTTTTCACTCCAGTAAATTAGATTTTTTTTTTTTAACTGGTGAACCTTTCTAAGCGATTGTATATTTCAAGTCTATTTTGGTATCGTGTCTATTAAATGAATTATACCTGTACAGCAGTACTTCATAATGTTGTTATTTATTTTCTTATCTTTCCCCATTAATACATTACTCTATTTTGATTGGAGATAAAAAGTAAAAAGAATATCATTAATTTAGATTACTCGGTCATCAATAAGACAGCATACCCGTAATTCTACATTTTTTCCCTACTTTTTTGCTACTAAAGAAAAAGCCTGTTCAACTAAATGAGGATGGTCTCTTCCTGATGGTCATTTGTCTGCCTAAGTCGGATGGCTAACGTTAATAATAATGTTGGTTTATTTTTTTGTTTTTTGAACGGGGTTATGTTAGTACTGACAGGGTTTGTAGAATCTTCAGTTGAGATAGTAAATACAGCATTTCTGTTAAAACAATACTAATAATTATACATAATATGCAGGCATAATTATTAGGTAATACTCAACCTAAAGATATCTTGAAAATATATATGTAAAGTGATATGCAGTACAATACATTTTTTAACGTCTCAATAATTTACTTAATGTTAATGCTTTATGACTTAGCAAGCAAATTCAGTAATCAATTTTTACCCTTTAGAATATTGTGGGATTTGCATGTTGTATCAGGTATTTCAAAAATTAGAAGAGAAGCTGTCTTGGGGAAAATAGGATAAAACAACGAAAAAGAAAGTGGAGTTTCATCAGATCTCATCATATTGATAGACAGAATAGTTTGAAGAATGTCGCCCTCAAGAGCTTTAGAAATGCTGACTAGCCTCATTTCTAGCAACTAGAGTGGACAACATCTGGAACAGAGCCTAATGGGGTAGACTATGGTGCATTTAGAGAAGATGAAAGGATTATAGAACTATGTTAGCAACAGCTAATCTTAAGTTTAGAGGATTAGCAACGACATATGTAGTGTACCAGGAAGAAGCAACAGTATCAAAGGTAGTGTTAGACAGTTACTCAGGTAAAAGTTGAACTTTTCAGCGTTTGCAGACCTAATGTTAGTGGAAATCATTCTTACAGAGAAAACCACTTAGTGCAAGATAAATTAGAAGTTACACACTTTTGTACAGTATTGAAATTAAATAGTTCAGAAATTTAATGTAGCTAGTCCAATAAATAGACTAGAATCTGATCAGGATTATGGTTTTTATTTGGGTTTTTTTTTCCAAAATTTCACAAAAAATACAGCAGAGCTTGGAAGATAGAAAAATAATTGCACCAGTAATATAATAATTATTGAATTAATATATTTTTAAAAAGAAAGTTGGAGATGAACATTGGAGTACAGTACTGTATTTTGAATTTACTTTTTCGCTGGATTGGATTGTTTGATTTGTGTGAAACTAAAACTTCACATGTTTTCAGAATATGCAGAGCTTTTAAACTGATTAATGACTATATTGCTTTTTTTTCAGGGAGCCTTGTGGAAAACTGAACATGATTATCAGGTATGTTGAAATACATATACATAACCTAACAATTAGCTTTACTGTAAAATATTTAAATACGTTGCATTACTTTACTGCTATATTCAAAATCTAAGATTTTTAAGACTTAAATATAAGCAATGATGATGATGTCAATTAGGTGATGATACCTTGCACATCTAACTTACTGAACATGCTACATAAACAGAATATAAAGACAGACTATCGTATTTTGTAGATATACTGTATGATTTTTGCCAATAAGTTTACAGCAGTGTATCTGAATATCTTCTCGCACTCACGATGATCCTGATGGGACTTGTCATGTCGGGTCTCTGACTTAAACAAACGCGATAGATCTGCGTCGGGGGCACTCACTAAGTAAATTATTAAACATGTTTATAAATTCTTGTAATGACTTGAAACCTGTATCCGATAATAAAAAGTATTGTGTTGCATTGTACGACTGTCTTAGTTGGCCTTAAACTGCATTACTCTAACTGTATTTTTTGTACAATTACAGGTCGCCCTCCAATTAATGACACTTTTGTGACATGGCCTTTCGCAGCTTTGGTCTCTAATAATATAAATAAGACATTTGGGACCACAGAGCAGTGGAATTTAATTTTAGGGGTCCTTAATTAGAGGGAGACCTGTATATACAGTTAAACTTGCCTGAGTTGCCTGCCTGAGTAAGTCGATCTTATTTTACATGCCAAATTGTTGTTTTCCATTAACAATCTGTAAGTCAAATTTTATCTAAGTCGAACAATAATCCAATGGCATTTTGGATTTGACTTAAGCAAGTTCATCTGTAGTTAAAACCAGTGTAAAAACCTTGTACCCTTGGATGGTAGAAGTTGCATTCAAATTGCTCTGTCCTTAATCAGTTTTTTTTTGTTTTTTTTTTTGCTGTTTCAGATACTGCATTTCCGAACTGGTTTTGGTATTTGGAGAGCGTTTTAACCAACTTTCAAGCAGTCAGTCATCAGAATTACAGTGCAATAATACGAGTCTGAAACTTAAGCTCTGTCCACACTATCAATTTTTGTATGCGTCAAATTTGTGTGATGTGCCCATATTTGCATGTCATATTGATGTGCACATATTTGCATGTCATATTGATGTGCACATATTTGCATGATGTCATAATACATCAAATATGGGCTTGTCGCATGGTAGACAGAGCATTAGAATACCGTATCAACTTCAGCTGAAATTCCATTGAAACTCAATATTTTGATACAATTGCCATAATGTGTGTTTTTATTTTTAATAAGTGACAATTTTTTAATAAAATTATGAAACTAAGTTATTGTAACTGTATTTTGAGTGTGTGAATATCTAGTGTTAATTTTATCTATATATACAGTACTCTTTGTGGCGCCATCAAAATGGTAATTATAAACCATTTAATTATAATGGTCATTATCAATCAACAAGGAGATAATACTCCTACATCTAAAGAATAATACTGCAAATTTATTCTACATAATTATTTTGAATGCTAACACAAACAGTATTGTATATCTTGAAAACCATAGAGACTTATCGATGGTCTATACTTATGCAATGTGGATGCCTTGAAGTCGTAAATGCAGCTTACTTTGGTGTGGATGCGCGTCTATCTCAATTGCTCTAGTGTGAACAAAGCCAGCAAGTAGACATACAGTACCTACATAAACACTGCTTTGGCGTATTCAAGATCTGATTTGTCATAAATAAAATAGCATAAACCACTAACAAATACAATATGCAATAATCATATATTCGATCAGTGTGTCTTGCATAACGCTAAGCGTTACAGATGCAGGAATAAAAATTACACAAATACTGTACAGGCCACTGTCTAATTAAGGACCCGTCCAATTAAAAAGACAAAAATATACAAGTGTCTTTTATCTTTATTATTTAGAGGCCAAAACTGCTATAGACCAATAAACCTCCAATCCCAATAGTGGTCTTTAATTGGAGGGAGATCTGTATAAAGGACAGATTCAGAAGAAAATATGCGAATTGGTCGCGTTAACAAAAATGGAAGGTAGTACTATTGTATATAGTAGTACAATAATTAAATAGAGAACAAAGTTGAACGTAAAAGCGTAAACTAAATTTGGCCTCAACAGTAAATTTTAAACAATATACAATACTATGGATGTATGATACATAAAGCATGGAGGTATAAAAAAAGGAAGGCTGCTCACGGCGCCTTAGAAATAAAATTTTATCATTTGTAATTTTGTTGCAACATTCATTTTCATTTCCTTTATTTAGTCCAAAGAACAATAAAACTGACAAACAAGAGAAAAATATCTCAATTCGCCGAACATGTTGCCAAAAGTGAATTAAATCGCGGTGTTTGGTGGCTCTCCAATGCCAATCCGAACATCAATTATCCTAATAGAGAAGAAAATATATACCTGTACCTGTATAATCCTGTCTAGAGTACTGTAGTTATATTTTATAATATTTTACTCATCACACATTTCGAAATACGTAATATTAATGTACATAATCAAGGTGAACACTAAGCAAAGAGTGTTTAAAAAGGGTTATAACCGTCCTGTGAGACTTAACTTTATTTAAAAAAAAAACACCTTAAATCTTGAAGAGCTGTCTGAATTTTGGGTCCGTACTGAAGGGTAGAAAAAAGTGTGTGTTGAAATGAAGGGTGCTCATTAAAAAAATAAAAATAAAAAACAATAGGCCTAAACAATAAATATTTTTCTGGGCCTTATTTATTAAGTAATATTTTTTTTTTCTTTTCTAAATTGAGGAGCTGTCGAATTCGTTATGCATGCTTGATGTAAACAATATTTTTCTAAACATATTTATTAAGTAATATTTCTTAAAGGTTTAGGCCCACTATTTGAATTCGTTATGTTTAATGGAAGCGATAACCAGATTTCAGGACAATAATCAATTTTCTTTTTTCTCAACGTTGTGTAATGGAAGAGGCAAATGAAAGGAGGATGATGCTTTTCCAGTTGGATATCGATAAAGCCGGGAGTTTAATTGAAAATAATATTTATATAGGCTAATATTGTATATACAGTACCGTATATATACATATATATATATACATATGTATAATGTAAGTTAAAAATTCTGTCTCTTATACACATCTAGATGTGTATAAGAGACAGTCCATAGTCTAAGTAGAACGTTGGGTTGGTTTAAAAAATAATAACTTTATCGTCTGGATATCTAAATAGGAGTTTAAAAAGCGTGACCTTTGAACAAAATTGGACTGAAGTGGAGCTAAATTATGAGAAGCCGCTCGCGATTTACGACAGCTTAACAACTTCTATATTTGTACAACGCTTGCATTTAAAGCCGAAGTGACCCCAGTAATGCACATTAATAAAAGTGTAATTAAAGATAAGCTTTAAAGTATACACCCAACCTGGTATCATTACATAATGAGTTAGATAAATTGAAGTACAATAAACTGATTAGTATCTTTATCGCAGGTAAATTACTGTAGGCCTACTGCAAAACAAATTTCCACTCAAATTATCAACAGGTTCCATTGTAACTACAGTATTCCTAATTTCAAAATGAGTTCGATTTTTAGCGAGCAGTACAGAAGAGCTAAGAATTTTGGAATTGAAGAAACGAAGTTTCTAATCGAAATATGGGGAGCAGAGGAAATTCAGAGAAAATTTCTTCGATCTACAAGACATCATAAAATATGGAGTGAAATTGGCCATCGAATGCTTCTCCATGGTTACAATAGGCCTGACATCGAGCTCAAAAGACGCGTGTTAAACCTCAAAGCACAATACCTTAAATACAAGAAGGGGTTTTTGGCTTCTGGTGTAAAACCAGACTGGACATACTGGACCGACATGCACAGCATCTCCTCAAGGTCAGATAATTATGAATTTTCTGCTGGAGATCACACAGGCTTTTTCAACGGGTTCGCACCTTACACCATGGAAGAACAGAAGTATCCCATCCCTCTTATTAAGAAAAGACGTAGAACAGAAAGCGAAAAGTAAGTGAATAAGCACGTTTAATTTAACAGTATTAATTTTTTTTTAAATGTAGCACAAGTGCCCTCCCCACAGTCAAAAGTCGCATCAACTGAGACTTGCATGTCCCTAGCAATTGCATTGAGGCTAATGTATCGCTACCATCCCGACTTTTCCATCCGAAACCGTCAGCATCCCACCACCCCTCCCTTGAACTCATTATATTGGGTACCGACTTAAATGTTTTGATGTAGATGAGCCAAAGACTCTAATACATGATACAGTACCTTAATTGTAAACAAGTTCATAAAAACTCTTAATTAGTAAAGAGTTAGTCATGAAAAGATAATTTTTTTTTATTTTTTATTTTTTTTTTATTTAAAGGTAAAACACACAAAACAAGACAACAGCCAAAGGCTGAAAACGTTTGTTTACAATCAACAAATAAAGACAACATAGGAAAACAGGTCAGGTGGAAAAATACATATCGAAATATCAAAACATTCAAATAATTACATTAGAAAAGTTAAAAATTAATATCATAGTACAATATAAAATTTATATCATATTACAAAAATAAATATAAATATATAAATATACACCATATTATTATAATTAAATTTCAAAAACGTCAATTAATTCAAAACTTAAAATACATACTGTATAGAAATATCAAAACATTCAAATAATTACATTAGAAAAGTTAAAAATTAATTTAATATTACAAAATATATATATACATAAATATATACACCAAATTACTATAATTAATTTTCTTTTTTAAAGCGTCAATTAATTCAAAATTTTAAATAGATTATTATGATACAGGATTATCATATTATAATATATAGTTTTAGTAAGAAAATGACGATGAATGCCCCCAAAATGCTAAAAATAAGTAGAGAACAATATCTTCAGTTTGTAAAGTTAAAAGCATTTTTGTTAAATGTTAATTTTATATTTAGATTTGAGTATAGGCCTAAAGGCTAAGAGTTAGCAATGCTAAGATAATGAAGAAGGTAACACTTCAGTATCCTATACGAAAACCTTAATATGCTAATAGTCATTTAGAAGGCGGCAGTAATGCAATTAACATTATTATTATTATTATTATACAGTAGAATCCCTAAGGGGCGCCTTCAGAACCAAAAAGTGTCCCCTTAACTGAGCAAGGGACACAACCAAAAAGCGTGAAATAGTCCCGGTAATAGCTGGGGTTTTATAGCATGTTTTCATACAACGACATACATTTTTATAATTAAGATTAAATTGACATAAGAATGAGTTACAGTATAAATGCAATGTAATTACAATTCATTTATGAAATCAGCAGATAAAACAACGATGAGTTGTTTACTGTTCGTTCCATTATTATTTCATGATGCAATGTTACTGACAAAATATATGTAGACCTATTGTTTTAAATATTAAGCCTTCTATTGGATGTAACGACTTAGAAATAAGGTTGGTTATGGTATGGATTGGATGGATCCTATTGAAAATACACAAAAAGCAATGAAAAAGAAATTCCCTTATATAAATGGTCGGAATTGGTTTATGCGAGGGGAGAGAATTTTGGTTTGATGTTACGGTTTTAGCTCAAAATGTGTCAAAATTAGTTGATTGTATTTTTCCTATTTTGTTGTGATACAATGAAAAAAAATAAGTGTCACCTTATTGGTTAAATATGTAGGGCCTGATTTGACCATTTGGCACACTCAAAAATTCTCCCCGTCTCCTTACCGGGTGTCCCCTGAATAGGGT